TCAAAACTTTTTCCCAAAGCTCCTTTTTCATTTTAAATCAAATTTATTGCCATTTCCTTCCCAATGCTTATGCATGAATGCATCATGTTATGTCAATGATCATCCTTCTATGACTAATTCAAAACTTAAACACATAACATACTTTACAAGAAATTCCAAGGAAATTACAACATGTCTTCATATAGCAATTCTAGCAAGTTTATAACACTATAGGCATAGAAAATTAACAATTAGGCATGGTCTTCATCTAAATTAACTAATACACATAGTTACACATTTCATATACAATATCCAACCAATTTTTCTTTCAAGATTCTATACAATTTAATCATGCTAGATAATAATATAAGGAAAGAAATTCACAAAAGAATAAGAAATCATGCATTAGGAACCCCTACCTTAATTTTGTAGAAAAAACCTCCAAATGGGTCCAAAATTTTGAAATTCTAGGGGAGGCACAAAGTTGAAATTGCTTATATAGACATGAAGATCTCACCGAGCTCTTCGATTTGCCGCAAACGGCACCCAAAAATTCCAAGAGATGAGGAAGTAATTGAAGCTTGAATTTTGCAAAGAAAAAGAAAAAAGAAAAGAAAAGGAAAGAGAGAGGGCTAGGAGATAGAGAGAGAATGAGGACACAATGGCCTCTTGGCCACTAAAATCAACCTAGTGGGGAGTGGGTCCTACCCAAAAAAATAAAAATCCTATTTTGACTTTTCTTTTGCACCAAAAAATATATATATACACAACCATATAAAACCCAGATAAACACATTAAATAATATGCATGAGATGCAAATAGACCCAACTAAAATCCTCGTACACAATAATCCCGGTGGCGGGTCCCACACGGGACCGCCCAGCCCGAAAAACAAAAAAATTCAAAAATGACAAACCTTGTATTCCCAAGAGTCCTAAACTCAATGGAATGGTCCAACCAACTCTCTGACACACTCGGCACACCCCACAGTGTTCGGCAAATAAAACGTGAAAGGACGAAAATGCCCTTGCAACGACAAAAATTTTTAAAAATGAAAAATGGTAAAAAAATGGAAACATTACAATCTCCCTAACTTAAAAGGATTCATCCTCGAAATCATACCTATGGGAGAAAACAATGTTGGATACTTAGAGCAAACTTCCTGTTCAAGCTCTCAAGTAGCCTCCTCAACTCCGTAGTGTCTCCAAAAACCTTCACTAACGGTATCGTCTTGCCCCTTAACCCCTTTTGTCATGTGTCAACGATCTGAACTGGTCCTTCTTCATAGGAGATATCCTCATCAATATCCACATCAACCTAACTCAAAATGTGAGACGGATCCAGTTCATACTTCCATAACATCGACACATAAAAAACATTGTGGACCCAATCCAACTGTGGTGGCAATACAAGTCTGTAGGCAACCTCTCTTACGCGGTCCAAAATCTCAAACAGTCCAATGAATCATGGCGATAACTTGCCACTCTTCCCGAACCTCATCAAACCCTTCCGTGGAGAAACCCGTAGAAGAACATGATCTCCCACCTTAAAGGATAATGGTCGTCTCCGCTTATCCGCATAGCTCTTCTGTCGGCTTTGAGCTGTGAGCAACCTCTGTCTTATTAGCTTAATTTTCTCGGTAGTCTTGAGTACAACATTGGGTCATAAGGCGGTTGTTTCACCTACCTCAGTCCAACAGATTAGAGACCTACATGGTCTGCCATACAATGCCTCAAATTGAGCCATCTCAATGCTTTCTTGATAACTATTGTTGTAGGCAAACTCAATAAGTGGAAGGTGATCCTCCCAACTACCTCCCAAATCAAGTACACATGCCCGAAGCATATCCTCTAAGATCTGGATGGCACGTTCCGACTGGCCGTCTGTCTGTGGATGGAATGCCATACTAAGGTGTAATGCTAAGCCAAACGTTGCTTGAAGTCCTTCCTAGAACTTCGAAGTGAACTTGGCATCCCTATCTGAAACAATGGCCACTAGAACTCCATGCAACCTGATAATCTCATTCACATATAGCACACTGAGTACCTCTACCTCATCTATGGCCTTAATAGGCAAAAAGTGAGCCGTCTTGGTCAATCTGTCAATGATAACCCATATGGCCTCATTGCCCCTCCGGGACTTAGGAAGACTTGTCACAAAATCCATAGCGATTTGCTCCAATTTCCATTGCGCTATAGGCAATGGCTGCAACAAACCGGTTGGTCTCTAATGCTCGGCCTTCACCTGCTAATAGGTAAGGCACTTAGCCACAAACTATACAACATCTTTCTTCATTCCATTCCACCAATACTGACGTCTCAAATTATGATAGATCTTAGTACCACCTGGATATACTACAAAACGGGAAGTATAAAACTCCCGTAAGATGTTCTCATGACAAACTATGGGAACCACCAACAAACCCTTGAACGGTAGACTCCTATCTGCATATAAGGACCAATCTTTCACTGTCTCACCACTAGAGATCAAAGCGTGAATGGCATCTAAATTCGGATCCTGTCTCTGTGACTCAATTACTCGTACAACAAGATTAGGCTGAGCCACAAGACTAAACAAGAATGCCAACTCACTGCCATTATCATCATCAAAGCAAAACAATCCTATCTTTACCAAATCCTCAAGCATTTTCCACTTCTAAATAGCTAACCCAACCAAAGTTCCACAAGATTTTTGGCTTAAGGCGTCAGCTACCACATTTGCCTTGCCCGGATGATACTGCAAGTCAAAATTGTAATCTTCCAAGAACTCAACCCATCGCCTCTGTCTGTTGTTCAAGTCCTTTTAGGAGAAAAGGTACTTGAGACTCTTGCGATCCGAGAACACCTCGAATCTCTCACCATATACATAATGTCTCTAATATTTCAAGGCAAACACAACTGCTGCCAACTCCTAGTCATGAGTAGGGTAATTGTACTTGTGAGTCTTCATCTGTCCAGATCCATAAGATATTACTCTACTGCTCTACATTAGCACAAATCATAAACCATCACATGAAGCGTCACAATAAATCACATAATCCAAGCCAAGCTCAGGTATTACCAACAGTGGAGCCGGAGTCAACCTTGTCTTTAACTCTTGAAAAGATAACTCACAGGCTTCATTCCATGTAAACTTGATCCCTTTTTGGGTCAATTTGGTCATAGGAGCTGCCAAACGGGAAAAATCCTTCACAAATCTACGATAGTAACCCGCTACGCCAAGCAAACTTTGGATCTCAAAAATATTTCTTGAGTTTCTCCCACTTTAAAATTGCCTTTATATTTGACAGATCAACCGATACTCCACCTTCTGAAACAACATGTCCCAAAAATTTCACCTTTTATAGCTAAAATTCATACTTTTCATGTTTGGCATACAATCGGTGCTCTCGCAAAATTTGCAACACAATGCTCAAATGGATCTCAAGTTCCTCCTGAGATCGTGAATACACAAGAATGTCATCCATGAAAACTACCACAAACTGGTCCAAGTAATCGTGAAAGATGAGGTTCATCAAGTCCAGGAATGCCGCTGGCGCATTAATCAAGCCAAAGGGCATAACAAGGAACTCATAATGTCCATAACAAGTACAGAATGCTATCTTCGGGACATCCTCATCCCTAACCCGTAACTGATAATAGCTTGACCTCAAGTCAATCTTCAAAAAATAACTGGCTCCTCTCAACTAATCAAACAAATTATTTATCCTTGGCAAAAAATATTTGTTCTTGATGGTGGCATGATTTAACTTCTGGTAATCAATTCGTAACCTAAAAGAACCATCTTTCTTCTTAGCAAACAAGATTGGTGCGCCCCACAGTGACACACTCGATCGAATGAAACCTTTCATCCTTAATTCATTAAGCTGCTTCTTCAATTCCTCCAATTCTATTGGTGCCATAAAAATTGGTGAGGGACTGGGCATCAAATCAATAGTAAACTCCACCTCTTGATATGGAGGCAACTCTGTCAAGTCTTCCAGAAAGACATCCAAGAAGTCACAAAAAACTACTAGATAAACGCTTTCCACAACATCATCTTCTTCGGCTAAAAGACTAGCCAAGAAGTAATCACTATGACTTCTTCCATGAATCCTATAAAATGAAGAAGCATGGGAATCACTTTGATCTCCCATAAAAAAGAAACAGTCTCCCTCGGGAGTGCAAACTGTGATTCTACCTTTGAAATAATTAATCGTAGCCCAAAATAAAGCTAACCAATCCATCTCGAGAATAACATCAAAACCAGTCATCTCTATGAGGATGAATTCAAACACAAAAGTCCGTCCAGCTATCATAATGGAACAATCCTTCACAGTTCTATTCAAAGACACTGAAACCCCAACTGGCGTTTCAACACACAATGCCTAATCCATGAAACTGACCTCTAACCCCGATATAAGTGCAAATGATAATGACATAAAGGAATGAGATGCATCAGAATCAAACAAAACATGAGCCCAAGAACTAAACACTGGAAAGATACCTCGGAGAAATGATGGTCCAGAATATGCATCAGCCTGTACAAGTGCAAAGACACGTCCCTGCGGTGCCTGTGCCTGAGAATTGCTAACTTGAACACCTGACTGCTATGCTGACATAACAGGAGTATCCCTCCTAGCTGGTCGTAAACCTTATGAAGACATAGCAGGTTATGGTGGTGGCGGCGGTCTGAAACCTGACTGAGCTGTAGCTGACTGTGATGGCCTCTGTTGTGACCCTCCCACTACCGGTGCCTGCTCCCTGATTAGGACAATCCCAAATTATATGGCCTTACTGGCCACACCCATAACAAGCTCTTGGTGCTACAAAAATTGAAGATGATTTCATAGGACAATTGGACTTATAATGTCTAGGCTGCTGACATTGAAAATAAACGACTCCACTCTTGTCTGACCCAGTTGGCATGGGAGTAGTAAGAGCGGATTGTGTAGACTATTGTCCCTGAAACTGAGATGAACTACCCCTATTCCTCTTCCACGACTGCCCTTCTAAAGATGGTCCTGCATTTCTCTTCTTCTTCTACTGTTCCCTTCCTGCATTTCTATCTTTAACTTTTGCTTCCAGCATCAATGCTCTTTCCATTGCCTCTGAATAAACCTTGAAGTATTGAGCCGTGATCAACGACTTCATTTGGTAATGAAGACCGGAAATAAACTTTCGAGTCTTGTCAGCTTCATTCCTCACTATCTCTTGAGCAAAGCGGGAAAGAGAAGTGAACTTGTTCTCGTATTCCGTCACTGACATAGTACCTTGGATAAGGCTATTATACTGTTCCCTTAGCTCCCATCTCTTGGGAACCAAAAAATACTTCTCATAAAATAGCTCCTTAAACATGTCCCAACTCATCTCTTTAACCTTATGTTGATTAGTGACCGACTTCCACCAAAACTTGGCGTCCTTGGAAAACTTATAGGTAGCCAAGATGATTTTTACGTGATCATCCGTCACATCTATAGAAGTCAAGTGGGTTTCTACTTGGTCCATGTAGTCATCAGCTTCCAATGACACCGCCCTCAAACATCACTGGCATCAACTTAGAAAATCCCGTAATCAACTTGAAATGCTTCTGTGTTGCCATCTCCTCTACTGGAACTACTGGTTGTGGTACCGGTTGTGGGAGAGTAGCAATTGTAGCCCTCAAGGCACTTTGTAGCAAACGGTTCAATACCAGTTTTGCCGAACCTTTACCCTCTTCAACGGGTGCCTCAACATTATCCCTCTTAGTGGAAGCACCTCTCGGGGGAACCAAGTCCCTAAGAAGTGTATCCTCCTCAACTTGCTCTGCTGGATTGAAGCTAGAGCTCTCACCAACATCATCCCTTGTCAGCCTAGGGCCAACATCCATTGGTTCCTTTCGTGGTGGCATCATACTATAAAATGAGAAAACGATTCAATAATGATGACACTAAAGTCCAGCCATAGATGACTCAATAAAATGATGCAATACTAACGCTTAGCATACGAACGATAACACAAATATATTAACAAAAGCATATAAGCACATAAACACGTAAGCAAGTAGTCAGTTAAGCATGCTTTTCAAATAATTAAACATTTCAACAAATAGCCACATAACAATGCAAATGACTTCCCATACAACTCTATGTAGGCCTCTACCCGTCGTCCTCATGGTTTTCGAACCATGGCGCTCTGATACCATTTCTGTAACGACCCGGACCCATGGGTCCGAACTGTTAATCAGGTTCTTACTCGAACCCGAGGTTACCTAGGTCATTTTCGTCCGTTCTAATGTCAAAACATCATTCTTAGATCATAATTATGCGTCACCATGACTCAATGCAAATTCCCAAGGCTTAGGGTAGATTACATCGGAGAAAAGAACAAAGTGAGCAAAGTAGATGCACTTCGGTCGACTGAAATGGGGCTCCGGTTGGCCGAAGAAATCTCCCCTGTACCGTCGATTGAAACAAGCATTTCGGTCGGCCGGTTGTGACTTCAACAGTGGCTAAAGTCTCTGGATGAACCGGTCGGCCGAAATAAGCATTTTAGCCGTCCGAAATGGCTCTGCAAGCTGGTTCCGCTACTGGAAAATGCTGTAAACCTGAAAATGAATGGAAACTCATAGGAAACCTTGCAATCTGCTTCAAACTTGTTCTAAAAACTCTTTAAATGGCAAAACTACATAATATGGTTATGACAATCAACATTTTAATATGATACAACATCCACAAATCCATTCATATAAGAAGTAATGCTTAGTCTATACAATTAATTCAATTTGCATCAAAATGGTGCTAAGGTACATAGTTGAATTACAAGGCCATACTAGCTAGCTTAAATACATTTGAAATTGAAGCTTCCACAAAAAGATGGCTCAAAGATACAAAAGATAACAAAAATGGACTTCTAACACCCATCAAGTATGTGGTGGATTATCATCCGCCACCTCTTTCCGATGACCTAAAAAATGTTAAATATAAAGGGGTGAGCAAATTACTCAGTAGGTGGTGCTTAAGACACACCTCTTGTGACCCCGTGAATCCAAACAATGAAAAAAACAATAGGGAACGGGATCATGTTATGCCAGGAGAAATACAACATCAATTTCAAGTCCAAATGAACAATGTGGTGCTATGAAATGGAATGTTTTGATATGTCGCTCCCCATTTTCAAAATCACATCCATTCTCCACTTTTCAAACCGTTAACATAACCAGTCCCTCGGTGACTCCTCGGCGACACGAGAGAAAGATTGGTTACTGTCCCTAACCCTTGGTACCTCCGTGGTGTCATTTGGGCCCAGATAGCTCAACCACGCTAGGGTGATTTCCATAATTCTCTCTAGGTTACATTAACACCACAGACCCTCAGTACCTCCTCGGCATCCGAGTTTTCTCAAAAACCTTTTGTCAAAACTTTTTCCCAAAGCCCCTTTTTCGTTTCAAATCAAATTTATTCCCATTTCCTTCCCAATGTTTATGCATGAATGCATCATGCCATGTCAATGATCATTCTTCTACGACTAATTCAAAACTTAAACACATAACATACTTTACAAGAAATTCCAAGGAAATTACAACATGTCTTCATATAGCAATTCCAGCAAGTTAATAACACAATAAGCATAGAAAATTAACACTTAGGCATGGTCTTCATCTAAATCAACTAATATACATAGTTACACATTTCATATACAACATCCAAGCAATTTTTCTTTCAAGATTCTATACAATTTAATCATGGAAGATAACAGTATAAAGAAAGAAATTCACAAAAGAACAAGAAATTATGCATTAGGAACCCCTACCTCAATTTTGTAGATAAACCCCCAAATGGGTCCAAATTTTCAAAATTCTAGGGGAGGCCCAAAGTTGAAATTGCTTATAAAGACTTGAAGATCTCACCGAACTCTTCGATTTGCCGCAAACGACACCCAAAAATTCTAAGAGATGAGGAAGTAATTGAAGCTTGAATTTTGCGAAGGAAAAGAAAAAAGAAAAAAGAAGGAAAGAGAGAGGGCCGGGAGATAGAGAGAGAATGAGGCCACAATGGCCTCTTGGCCATTAAAATCAAATTAGTGGGGAGTGGGTCCACCCAAAAAAAATAAAAATCCCATTTTGACTTTTCTTTTGCACCATAAAAAATATATATACACAACCATATAAAACCCACATAAACACATTAAATAATATGCATGACATGCAAATGGACCCAACTAAAATCCCCATACACAACAATCCTAGTAGCGAGTCCCACACGGGACCATCCGGCCCGAAAAATAGAAAAATGTAAAAATGACAAACCTTGCATTCCCAAGAGTCCTGAACTCAGTGGAATGCTCCAACCAACTCTCCGACACACCCGACATACTCCATGGTGTCTGGCACGCAAAACATGAAAGGACGAAAATGCCTTTGCAACGACAAAAATTCCAGAAAATGGAAAATGGTGAAAAATGGAAACATTACAATACAATTCCTTCATATATATATATATATATATATTGCTTGACTTTTCAAAAAAAAAAAAAAAAAAAACCACAACAACCTAACGGAATGATATATTGAACTACATTTGTAATAATACCCCCCCTCTTTCTTTCTTTCGTATTTCATATAAGATCTTCTTAGTTAATAACTAGAGTTATGAATCTACCAACTTATTTGATTTTGATTTGATAATCTGAATTCTGGATTTAGCCATGCTTTGAGACATGAAAAAAGATTAAAAAAGAAAAACATTACGTTCACCAAACTTAAGTTGATCGATATATTCAAAAAATAATTAGTTATCATTCTCCTAAACCTTACTTTTATATTTCAAATACTTCATATTATCAACTTCAAAGAAAAAAAGTACATGATAGACATGGGTTTTTAAATGTGTATGATGTACATGTGATTTGCGTTTGTTAAAATTGAATAGAGAAACAAAGTATGAAGAACACAAGGCAAGAATATACGTGGTTTAGCCACTAGGGCTTACATCCACGGCACACAAAGGCCAAAGGGCTAATATGATATTATAATAATCTCTCTTTTCATGTTCAATAGAATGGTGAAGACTTCTTTATATAGGAGAAGAAATAATGAGAATGGAAAGAGATAGATATATGAAACAACTTCAATACGGAAAGATTTTTCTCCACAAATTCCTCTAGTATCTTCAATAAAATGAAACATCAATAATGGGGATTTTCCTCCATTGATTCCTACAATAACAAATATAACAGTAAATCTTCACCAATAAGAAAGAGCATCAATACTAGAAGATTTTCCTCTATTGATGCCTGTAGTAAATCTTCAATACTCCCCCTCAAGTTGGAGCATGAATGGCATGAATGTCTAACTTGCCATTGAGATAACGAGTAGCAGCAAGATGAAGAGGTGTAGTAAGATGACCTCAATAAAAATGGATCCAAGATCCCAAGACGAGTAGCAGTAGCCTCGATTAATGAAGAGGTGTAAGAAGACAACCTCATTAAAAAATGAATCCGAAGATCCGAAACGAGTAGCAGTAAACTTGATTGATGAAGAGGTGTAAGAAGACCACCTCAATAAAAATGGATCTGCAGATCCGAGAAAAGAACCAAAAATGACTATGATAAAAAAAGAGAAATGAACAAAGAAAGTTGCATGCTCTGATACCATGTTAAAATTGAATAGAGAAACAAAGTATGAAGAACACAAGGCAACGATATACGTGGCTCAACCACTAGGGCTTACATCTATGGCATACAAAGCCCAAAGGGCTAATATGATATTATAATAATCTCTCTTTTCATGTTCAATACAATGGTGAAGACTCCTTTATATAGGAGAAGAAATAATGAGATTGGAAAGAGATATATATATGAAACAACATCAATACTGAAAGATTTTTCTCCACAAATTCCTCCAGTATCTTCAATAAAATGAAATATCAATAATTAATGGAGGATTTTTCTCCATTGATTCATTCAAAAACAAATATAATAGTAAATCTTCAATAATAAGAAAGAGCATCAATACTGGAAGATTTTCCTCCATTGATTCCTCTAGTAAATCTTCAACAATTTTTTTTTTTTTTTTTTTTGTATGTCAATGTAGTTGTTATGCATTACTGTATATAATTATATTTTAATTTATGTGGTGTTTGACTAGGCGAGAGTGAGCTATTTTGTTAAGTGTGTGCAAATGTGTCGAATGAGTGATGAAAAGTGTACCTTAGTGTAACTATAGTGTATCCAATGTGTGTACCATGCGTGTGTAAATAATTGGAGTGTGAATTCTTTGGAATAAAAAAAACTCGATAATGTGGTAGTAATGGTGAACTTATTCAAAGATAACAAATGCGATTGTGAAGGAAATAAAGAAGGTTGTGCTGTTGGAAGTATTGTTTAAAGTCTTCGCCACAAGCCTCTAATCAGGGATGGACCAATAGAAGTATGTGGGGACAATAGTGAAAATACTATGGGGGCAATAGTAAAAATTTTCAATAATTTTAGGGGGTCAAATTTTAAATTTTATTCGTATATAAATTAAA